CTGCCTCAGTACTGTATTCATGGCACAAATAGGATCGGTCCCTATATACACCGGCCTGCAAGGAGTCGCATTATTTGTGACAGGCACCTCTGCCTGCCCAGCCCGCTCAGGACAGCGGCTGAGTGCTGCTGAGCATCCCTGCTGCTGCCCCAGGTCGCCTCCCTCCCCTGAAATTTGTAGGAAACAAAGCGTGGTCCCTGGCCTCTTCCAACTCTGCAGATTTTCAATCAAATTGCAGCTGTCATGGTTTGCATTTGTTATGGTGCTTTTGCTCAGATAAATTTAGCTCTAAAATAAAGCTCTAAATCCCATACCCCAAGGCGTGGACAATTTAAACTGTTTGTTGCTCAATGCAAATGTGAAAATGGCTGAAATGTAGCTCTGTGTGTGTATGCACACATGCAGAGGCAAACAAATATATTCATAATAAAAACCACATACAAGTAGGCAGGGTTTAGCTGGAAAAGATCTGCTGGTACTTGCAATAGCAATCTTAAATGATGGTCCCTGTTTGAATCCAGTATTACAAGGAAAGACCAGTTTGAAGTTGAATTTGATTCTGGTCACAGGAGAGGAGTGTAATTTTTAACACGTTGTGTTGTTACCCTGAACTAAGCTAAGAGGCAGCACAATGAACTCATTGGCATAGACTTCAATTTTTGTTTAAAACGCATGGAGTACTGGAAAGTAGTTTACTTGTGTCCTTTATCCTTTCCAAGATTTCCTGAGACTGAACATACATATGTGTGTATACGTTTATGTATTTTTTCATTCCTGGGCTTGATTGATTGTTGATGACAGATGTGAGTCGTGTTCTCCACTTCTGTTAAGCAGGAGGACGTTTTCATATATAATATTTCTTCCACTCAGAATCTGTTGGAAGCTAAACACAGGAAGAACCACTTCAGTAGGTACATATGTCCTTAAATTTGGGCCTGTGCACGTGCATAAAAATTAAGTCTTTTCAGGATCTCATAAAAGCAGTGAGATACCTGAGATACAGAGTTAAGTACTGAGGTTCATCCAGGAAAGTCTGTGAATGCCTAGTATTTTTCAGTGAATATCGTTCTACTGACCTCTCTGCCCACCCATAACGAGTTTAGCATCCGCCTGTTCCCTGCATTTCTGAAGGGCAGCCTTGCGGCGTGAGTGTGTTGTGCTGCTGTTCATAAAGGTGTATGCTCCACAATCCTAGCATCTCTTTTGGAGAGCAGGTAGTTATTCACATCGTAGCTAGGTCTCATTAATTATTTGCTGTCTATGTAAAGCACTCTCCAATTATACCACCAGATACCTGTTGTTAAGCTACATTTATCTTTGCCTTCATTGTGCTTTTTCTGTAGCAAATTCCCTTGCATCCCTCAGAGTTGCCATTTGTTCCTTAGTGCCTGATGTTTTACCATCTCCTGTCCTGATTTTTCGCAAACATCTTTGTAACATAAGTAATAGCTACTCCTTGGCTTTCCATTCTTCTCCCTGACCGTGTGGCCATAGCTGCAATAGTAAAGCCCGTGGGACATGCAGTTTAAGAAGGACTCTATTTTTTTTTTTTAGGGGAATCTTCATTTTCTAAAATATTAATTGCAGTGCCATCTTTATAAATCTTGTTCTCTTTTCCCATAGGATTTGCAAATAGAACGAGAGAGGACCGTGTATAATATTTCTGGTGGCTGCACAGCCCTTGTGGTGGTGTATTTATTGGGGAAGCTTTACGTGGCAAATGCTGGTGATAGCAGGTGAGTAAGTGTGGTAAGTCTCCAACTGTTCCTTCACCCCAGACTCCTCAGATCTGATGTTATCAAATTCCTTAGTTGCAAACAGTATCACAGTAGGATTCTATTTATTGCCTGGTCACTTAATGGTTCTCACAGAAATTAACGCAAATGGCAGTGATTGGCTTCCAGTGTCTTGTCAAGTGGTGATTGCAATCAGGAGGTTGACACTTCTGGCCCTTCTGAATGACTTGATGGTTGCAGAGAAGTTGAAAGATGCTAAAGAGCCATTGAAACAGAAGAGGTGTTGAGTGCGTAGTAGGATTGTGTGTTGAACACTGACAAAGTGATTGCATCCGGAACAGCTGGTAGGGCTGGACTGGTTCAGTAGGAAGTCCTGTGGCTCCTGTCCTCAGCCTTAGTCTTGTAAGGCCACCTGGTTCTCAAATTTTGATCTAACTGACGTTAATAATCTGTAAGCAAGTAACTGCTACTCCTACAACAGGGAGGAGGGGAGAGAGAGAGGGACTATCACAGGTTAGGATTTTTGCCGTATCCGCTTCTGCCTTGTGTACTTGTCCATTTCTCAGAACTGAATGCTGTCGTTCAGGAGCTGTTGCTTTGTAATGTTTAGAAGTTGGATGCTTGAAGACTTGTGATGAGAAGCTTTTTCTTTGTCTTCTGATTTAGCTGAGACCATACTGGAAATCTCCCACTTGCATTCTTTTCCTCTGTCTCTCTGCCCATACCACCATCAGAGAGAGAGATAATGAGGCTGTCCTTGCAAGACTTTAGACCTTCACATGTTTCTTTTGGCAGAGCTCTGCGTAAACAGGCCAGGGAGAATAGTTCCCCGCATGATACAGGCTGCTGTTGTGTTCTCTTAGTTAGCAGCTGAGAAATTGAAGTCTGCAAAGGTACTGAACCATGTTGTCTTTAGGTGAAGACTGCTATGGTTATGCGTTTTTGTTTGAGTTTTGTGTGCAGACATTTCATGTTTATACTGTGTGTGCACAATGTATTTACAGAGAGCAGTCAACTGCAAAATGTTTTGTAGCTTAAACCTAACATTTTTATTGCTTCTTGCTGCTTTAAACTGTAGGAAGTCAGATAAATCCTTTGTGCATAAAGTTCCTATTCTTTTTATGTTGGTGAGTGTTCTTAATATGCTGAATTTGCTGTTTATATTGCAAATTGCTCACTCAATTCCTCTTGACAAGTGACATATTTGAATCTTTTTCACATCAAACGTCAAATGAGTCCTCACAGAGGGTAGCTGCAAACATGTTTGAGTAGACCACTGTCTAGTTATCAAAACCACTAGCTGTACTAAATTTTAGCTCTTTTGTCATCAAATTAGAAATAATCGTGTTTTCCTGTGCTATTGTACTTGAAGTACAGTTGAGTCTCTTCCACTGGGTTGGCTAAAGGGCTTTATTGTCTCTTAAAAGTGTGCTGCGTAAAGTTGGCCGTGCAGGACCTACTTCTGAGTAGTTCAGATATTTGTCATTAAATGACCGGCTGCTTCTGATTCCCTCAGGATTACTCCTCTGCTTCCTGAGAGCAGCCTCAGCTCCATTGCAGCCTCTGACACCTCTGACGTTGACAGTGATCTTGAATTATCCCAAGCATCCACTGTAGTTAAAGCCACTAAGTCTTCAATAGGCTTTTGATGGGCTTGATGAACATTCAGAACATCTCTTCAGAAAAGCAGGAAGAGCAGGAATTAGAAGGGAAGCCACTGGCAAGGCTGAGACTTGTTTGGACCAGGACTCACATTTTTCTACTCATTCCTCGTGTCTTGTAGGTAACAGAGTCCCTCCAGAACCAAAATAGCTTGGTTTTACACTTTCCAAATGGACCTCATGGAAACCTTACTCATGCTGAGGAGAATTCTCTGGATTCCCAAAATCTTTCACTTGCAAATCAGCCTACTTCTAGATTTTCATAGCACAAGAAAATAAAAGCTTTAAAGTATAGAAGATCAGTTGATCTGGGCCTCTCTCCCACCGAATCCCCACTTCCCATGTTTCAGAAAGGGAGAAAAACAGATATTGCAAAACATCTTAAGTTGCTCCTCATCACTAAAAGGACTTTTAGGACTAGAAAAGCAGCTATGAGGTTGTCTGCCTACTTCCAGGGTGCACAGTGCATTCCTGTATTTTTAAGAACCCCGTCACATAGCCAAGAAATTTTATTTGAGTTAGTTGGAAAAATATGTTCCTTTTTGCTTTCTCATGCCTTGCATGGTCAGCTTCATGGTTTGTACAGATACAAATGAGGACAGTGAGAAATACAATAAGGAAACTACTTAAAAAAATGTTTGCTCTTGAGGAGAGGGGTGGGGTTTGTTTTTTCACCCAAACAGGGGACTTGTGCTTGTTGCTGTTGGAACTAGATGCCGAAACCCTCGGTTCTTCAGTCGAGCTGTAGTTTCTTTGAGTTCACCTACTCATCTGTGCCTCTTCTCTGTCTTCCTTCTCCTTTTCCCCTCTCTGCTCCCCCCTGGAAAAAGGCTACAAATAAATCAAGCTATGTTTCCCACAGACTAGAGTCTGTGAGAGGAGGTTTCGTGCTGTGAGAAATAAACATTTTGGGTTCACACAAACCTCATTCGTTCTGCCTCTGCCCAAAAGAAGGTTAGGTCTTTTAATTCCAGGCAACTTCAAAACAGCAGAAGCTTTTAAAGGTGGTTTTTGAACAACTTCTGCTGTCACAGGACCAAGGTACGTGCAACAAACTCTTACTATCACAATGAGACTAAGGAAACACGAAGTGTGAGACTTGAATAATAATGTGCTATGCAATGCCAGCTATACCTCAGACTTATGTCTATGGTATTCAGTTTAATCACCAAAGCTTCTCAAATCTAATCATTTCATGCCACGTACCCTGGCAGTGTTGTATAGCAGCTGTCCTTTTGTAGCTGATGTGTAATTACATCATGAAAAGACTTTAATTACCATATTACTAAATTACCAGCCAGCAATCCTTTCAGGTTCAGCCCCAGCTCACTTCTGTATGGACTATTAGGCTTCTCCAAGCTGAACACTTTTGGTTGGTGTAAAAGGGAGGAAAAATTGTGCTAATTGTAGGTTTTGTTATGAACTATTATTGAGCTTGATGTTATGGCATCACTAATGTCAATGATATAATTAAACTTCTGCTAATGATGCAATCACAGTTCTGTAATAATTATACGTTAACTGCACATGATACCAGAACCCTACTAAAAATGAGGTGATGTATTCAGAGCCTGATAAAAACAACTTGGAGGGAGCTGCTTTCACTCTCTAATGGCTTGTCTGATCATTCTGGGACTCTGCCATAAATATACCTGCTTGTACGGTCAAAATTCATGTCTGAACGTTGGCCAGAGCTTTTTCTCATGTTTCTCCCTCTCAGTGGTTAACATTGTCCACACAAGGTTGTCTAATCAGGGACCGATAGTGCTATAGTCCGTTATCCAGTATGTAGTGCTCTTCTGGTAAGCGTTGATGCACTGTGCTTTGCTTACCAGTTTGACATATACACTAGGGTAGCTACACCAGGCTGTTGGAATAACTGCTTTTACTTAATAAGGAATAGTACATCCTCTCTGCTCGTTCTTTTAAATAGTATTGTTCAATTTTGTATTGCTAAAGTGACTTTTACTTCTAAACTGCCATAACAAGCCTTGTTAATGTCAGTTCTTTTTAGTTTTATGCTCTTTGTTAGGATGTTGTTTTGTAGCTAGTGATGAAGCAGTAGTAAAACAGGGACTTAATGTTTTTACTGATTACTGTCCAATTATTGTATAGCCTCATGCAACATAACATTTGCCCAATATCACTACAGTGACTGTAATGCAATATGATCATATTAACTATCTTTGGCATGAGTGTTCTTCTGGCTTTCATGTCTGGCTAAGGAGCTGTTCGGAGACTGCAGGCACTGCCATCTTGTGCTGTGCTTGAAGCCATGTAGGGTAGCTGTGCTTTTATCATTATACGAGAAGCAGAACACCACAACTTGATTTGACTTTTCCATAGGCCCTGAAACACTCACTAAATCTGCAAATGGGTTCTTGGTTTTGATTTATTGACAGAACATGGGATCAAAGCAAAGAGCCTGATGTTTCAGAGGCTTCGCAGAGTTGCAGGGTCACTGGATTTTTTGCTTTGCTTCATCAGTTTTTTTTGTCATCTTTTTGCCTCTTTTACTCCCTGGTGCTTATGTTTTCAGAATATATTCACCCTCTGCTTGAACATATATCCTCATGTCCAGAGGATATTTTCCAAAGATTTTCTCCTCCTTTTTGCAAGTGTGGAATTAATGCTACGGCATTTGAGATTGTTGAATCATAGGAGCTCATTGAGTGAATGTTTTTGTGGTGCTTCTGTGTGGGTGCAGGTGAAGTAACTTTGTTGGTGCTTCACGTGCCCAGATGTGGGGGAGAGTGTGTATAGAACTGACTTCTCTCTGTGTAATAAAACAGTGAATTGAAAATTAAATTCTGCTTTGTTTCAGTTCTTTCCGGATTTGCTGTTTGTGTTGAATCTCACTACATTTATACTTCCCCTTCTTCTGTGTCAGGGTGCTTGTCAGCTCCTTCCCTCATGCATAGTTCTCCTTGTAGGAGGTCAAATTTAGGGGATTAATCTACTTTTATGAAGTAAGTGAGAGGCATGGAAACAACCACGTATCTGCTGACTGGCACTGTAGCTTAAATAGAATTTCTGAGAAGTCAGAGTTGATAATTCTGACCCATTTTTGTGGTTCATGGTATCTGACCTCTTCTGCAAGGCAGACCAGCAGGGTGATCTTTGCCAGAAGTGCTAACACTGTTTAAGGATGGAAACCAAACAGTGTTCTAGTTATTACTGTTGTAGAGCTAGTTTGCTTTAGTCTTTGGTTTACAGTATTTTTAAGAAACTTTAATTTTCTGATTTTCTTCACTAACCAGCTTCTAATCTAAATGGTGTATATTTTCCCTTTTTTCCTTGAGTGGTCTGCCTAAGCCCTCTATATCTCCTCACGTCTGC